TGACAGCAATCAGGAAAGCCAAAACTGGCATCACTAAGTGACATCACCTTTTATGACTGTGTCATTTAGCAACAACAGTTCTTGTCCTAATTGCCCTCATAAACTGATCACCTTTAGATTTTTTCCATGATGATCACTTCCAAACAGGTCCTTCAAATCTTTCAGCAGTTCACCCATCAGTGCTGTAACCTACTTGTTACTGATCATTCTTTTCTCTTTCTTCCCAATTTCCTCAGCATCACAAGTTGTTAAAAAAGACAAACAAGAAATGTCTCACTATGTTGAGACATTTCTCATATAAATGCACCAATATAGAGGAAATATTGGATCAAAAACAGTGTGTTTTTCCTTTGTACTCTAAGAAACAATAATTAAAGGTAAGAAATAGGTGATTGCTAAACTAGATTTAACCACAGAATAATCTGATGGTACCTTAATATGCACAAGATTTCCTCTAATCTTACTATAGTATCAATATATTCAGATGAATTATTGCTTAGTCATTCATTTCATTTAATCTATAATATTGTAATGACATACCATCATCTTTTAGGGACTCTTTGTGATGGGCTATCACGTGATTAAATGCCACACCTCTCGTAATGTTTAGCTCCTTCACCATGAATTAGGTTCTAGGATGTGAAAAAGTCTGAGCAAGTAAGTTTATTCTTTTTTTTTAAAAAAAAAGCCATTTGTGCTGAAAGCAGAAAATTTAAGAAAAATTAAACAGTATTAGGTTTTATGTTTGTTATTATTCTAATAAAGAAAAATAAACAGTTTATGTTAACAACTAATAACAGCAGAAGCATCTATTTCCCAAGCATATTAAAAAAAAAGATTTTATATATCCCCGTCCATCCTATAAAGAAGGTAAAGGAAAAAAAAATGAAAAGAAAAAAAAAACCAATGCTAAAGTAAAAATGACAAGAAAGAGATAGATTCAGAAAGTCATTTGTCTTTAAATTTGTACAGATGGTCCAATTTTTCATTTTCTGATATTTTAAATTTTCAGCTTTACAGCAGGGAAGTGACAACCTTATAATGCAGATGAATAAAATGTGACATTATAGACATCTTTGCAAATATCTATAAATTTCAGATGATAAAACAGGATGCCTTTTGACTGCTCAGTGCTATCTACTATACTTATAGTTTTCTTTTCAAACCATCCATGATCATAAACTACAGCCAGTTATATTTTACAATCACAGTGGAATAGTAGCATCAATTTTATATAACTATCCAAAATAATAGTTATTTTGTCTATTATTTTACAAGATGCTTGAATTTTGGAAATAAAAAATACTGCATCGACTGTTAATATTAGTTTTTTTTTAGTTTTCCATACCCTTTGAAGAATTTATTAATTTATCAATCATATTTGTATAATCATTCATCATACATGAAAGTGACTGCAGTGAATCTGTGTGTGGTGGAACGTTGTATCTTGCAGAGGGATATTGTACCTTGCTGTGATATTTATTGTACCTTGCTGTGATATAGATAGTTTTATGAACCTTTCCCATATATAAAAAATGTGTTTTGTTTGTTTTAAATAATTCCTGCAAAAAGGAAATGAAAAAATTCTTTAGCTATAAATTTTGCTCCTCCAACCCTCCTTTTCATGTTGTGATTTTGACCAGTTCCTGAAGTGAAAAAAATTGTCCGTGTGCAAGAAGAATACTATACAAAAGGTGGATTTTATAGACAATTGGGCCTGTCCTGATAAGATACTGTATAATAGATTGGTCATACTGTACATAACCGGTCAGTGTCAGATACCAGGGGAGACATGATAGCAGTGTTCCAATATCTGAGGAGTTGCCACAGAGAGGAAGGGATCAAGTTATTTCCCAAAGCACCTGAAGGCCAGACAAGGAATAATGGATGGAAACTGAACAGAGAGAGATTCAACCTGGAAATAAGGAGATTTTTTTTGAAGGTGAGAGCAATCAACCAATGGAACAACTTGCTTCAGAAGTTGTGGGAACTTCATCACTGGAAGAAATGATTGGACTGCCATCTGTCAGAAATGGTGTAGGGTCTCCTGCTTGAGGAAGGGGTTGAATTAGATGACCTACAAGGTCCTTCCAACTCTATTAATCTGTTAAGATCTAGTGTGTCAAAGTGAGATCAGACAAAGCTCTCTTCTCCAGAAAAAGTGCTATATATTTAAAATGTTTGAATATATTAATTATCCAAATTAGGATGAGGAAAAAAGATAAATTGATTTTCTCTGCATTATTTCTTGTATGGTCTTAGATACTAATTGTATAAGACTTCAATTTACAACTATAATTAATCCCAGAATTATGGTTGTAAATCATGAAGGTCATGAAGCAGATCATTGTGTGGCCACACCAAATTTTATGATCTTTTTTGAGGCAGTCATTAAATGAATGCCATGGTTGTTAAGTGAACGTGGCAATCATTAAATGAATCCATTGTATACAAAGGACGTTCAGCAAAAAGGTTCAGCAAAAAAGGCATACAATGTGATCATGGGACATTGCTAAATTGCCGAAAATGCTGGCCAATTGCCAAATGCCCAAAATGCAATCACATGACTATGGAAAGACAGCCATCAGAATTTTGAAACTGGTTTATAAGTAGTTATGGGGAGGTCCATCATAACTTTGAACAACCAATCATAATTTAAAGACTATCTGTATCACCCCTTTCCTAAGAGGTCTGTAGGGGGCGTGCATAAGCGCACCAACGTGCCTACCGTCCCTGTCCTATTGTTTCTCTTATTCTTTTATTTTTCTTATATGTACCCATTTCATGTATTCACAACTATGTATACACTTATACTTATTATCTTGTAAACAATTGGCAAATCAAATAAATAAAATAAATAAATAAATAAATAAAAATACCTGAAAGAGCTTTTTCTAGGCTTAAGGTAAAAGAAAAGTGCAATCTTACTTGAGGAGCAACCCTATTTAGTGGTTCCATCAGGTTGCCCAGAAAATTATAACAATGTGTCCATGGAGTTCCCCTTTAGATTACAGCTCCACTATTCCTAATGGCATCCCAACCAAGCTTAATTCTGCTTATCTTCCAAGTCCAGACAAGGATAGACAGGAAACAGAGAAAGCTTTTAAAAGTTATATGGTAAAAGGGGAGCTGTCAAGTACTGCGATAAAATTATCATTGGAAGCTTTTACTGTGACACAACAAAAATTTCCTCTTTCACTGTTGCTTTTCCCCTGACCCTCATTTGTGTCAGAATTTAGATCCAAAGAAAATCCAACACAGCAGCAATTCAGATTCCCTAGAGAGTCCACAACAATTGCACAGTGACTGTACATTTGACCAATGAAAAGATTTATTTTCCATGTTCCTTGAATCTCTGCAGTATGAACAAAAACCACACTTCTATAGTACATACTATGAAGCTCCAAGGGATAATAGAGGATATAAATGTTAAGTAAATAAAATGGAGGGTTACATTTACCAACCATTGCAAGAGGACACAAGTATCTTCCCTGTTCCATAGTCCATGGGCTTTTCTGAAGATCTTTCCATATTGATTAGGAAGTGTAAAATATCAAACATTTCTAATCCTCCTTTCACTAACAGACCCTGATAAAGCAAGTGCTGGAAAATACCCACTTTAAGATATGTCCTGGTTATAATTATGTGCTTCAAAGCACATAGAAGCTCACTGTTGCAACATCAAAGTAAATTAATGAGGCAAAATAATAAAACTGATCTCAGACGTTGCAAATTCCAGGCAAAGATAAGCAGGTGTTCTAAAATACGAAGGAAGACCAATAATTACTATTCTGAGGCACAACTTTCAAGGCAAAACAGATGCTCAAATTGCCTCTTTCACATTTGCAGTGATGACCATTTTATATTTTCTGAATATACATTGCAAACAATACTTAGTACATACAAAAAGGAATATTGTGTTTTCTGAATTAGCATAGACGCAGGCAGTACTTTTTAATTACTGAAAACAAGTCCCAAATACATTTTTCCATCTGCAGGAAGTTTGCTATAGATTCTATCAGAGCAAATTAAAATACAGATATCATAGAAGATTCCAGGACTCCTTTTGGTTCAATTGCATTAAATTTACATAAATTGTATCTATTTCACGTGGATACAGTTCTATAGAGGAATTACTGAGTCTGTCATCTGCACCTCTATACTGTCTGGTTTGGTTCTGCAACCCAACAAGACAGACACAGACTTCAGAGAGTAATTAGGACTGCAGAAAAAACAATTGCTATCAACCTGCCTTCCATTGAGGACCTGTATACTGCATGAGTCAAAAAGAGGGTTGTGAAAATATTTACAGACCCCTCACATCCCGGACATAAACTGTTTCAACTTCTACCATCAAAATGATGCCTTAGAGCACTGCACACCAGAACAACCAGGCACAAGAACAGTTTTTTCCTGAACGCCATCATTCTCCTAAACAAATAATTCCCTCAACACTGTCAAACTAAGTCTGCATTACTATTACTATTAATCCTCCCATCCTTTCTTTCACCCATTCCTTCCCATTTGTGACTGTATGATTGTAACTTTGTTGCTTGTATCCTTACGATTTATACCCACTGTTTCCTAGTATGATTTGACTGCTTATTGTACCCTATAACTATTAAGTGCTGTACCTTATGATTCTTTACTTTTGACAAAGGTATCTTTTCTTTTATGTGCGTTAACAGCATATGCACCAAGACAAATTCTTTGTGTGCCCAGTCACACGTGGCCAATAAATAAGTCTATTCCATTATATTCTATTTTGTTCTGTTCTGTTTTTAATCCTTTTCTCCACAGTAATCCTTTGTGGGAAATAAAGAAGGAAGTAACCTCCTCTTGACAAGTTTACACTCTAGACCATAAACAAACATGGTCTTAATATTCTAATTTCTGGTTGGTTTTTATGGCTCATAGAAACAACACATACTTATTTATAAACGGGGTCCCTTGTGTGGATCAGATATTATAACTATTAAATAAAAACTTCATACTTGGAGATGCACAGACTCAGAGATTCTTTGAAAAAGCTGCCACAAAAGCAAATTGGAAAAAATGAGATTGTCTTTTTTGAGGTCAAGCACTGTAAGAATAATAAGGAACATGCATCATGTTTTCTGTGAGTGATACAACTGACAAAGTATCTATAATATCTGCATTGGCTAACTCCCAATCTCAGTCTTCCCCATTAGGAAGGAATGTATTGTCTAAATCAACTTTAAGACTTGTAGATTTCATGCTGGCTGGGAATTTTGGATGTTGGAAGTCTACAAGTTTTAAAGTTGCCAGGGTTAGACACCCGTGGTCTAAATCAATGTTTTTCAACTGTAACAACTTTAAGACATGTGGCCTTTAATTCTAGGAGTTGAAGTCCACACATCTTAAAATTGTTAAAACCGAAAAATATTGGTCTAGATTACTTTTAAAAGTTCCACATTTATAATACAATAGAGTACACATTAAACATCTCCGAAGGAAAACTTCCTAATTTCTTGAGTTGTAAAGGTGATAGGGAAGACCTACAAGATTCTGATAATGTAACCCTACAATAAACTAGAATAAACTAAAATTTGGGTGTGCTTTTTGTAGTGTCCCTGACTAGCTAAGTCTTCAATCTGGTCCGCATTCTGAGCGGGAGCACCGACGGTTCCCATTGGTTGGTGCCGTTTGACAGCAGACTATAAAAGGAGCTGTCAAACGGCATCAGCTGCTCCAGCCAGCTGGCTGCCAGCCCAGCTGGGCAGCCACGATAACCTGTTACTCTTCAAATAAAAGCAACGTTATTCTTCAGTTCTGTGTCTGCCTGGTGTGTCCGTCTGCCAACACAACACTGGCGACGAGGATGGGATTACAGCAGAGACGCCCAGGCAAGACAGCTGAGCTAAGTCACTGAAGAAAGAGCCGAAGCCACTGAATGTCAGGAGCCGCAGACAATCTCTGCGCGCGCCAAATTTAAAAGGCCTCCTCAGCTGAGGAGACAGTCACTGCCTAACAGGCACTGCTGCGTGCGCCCTTTTGAGGGCGCGAAACTCAAAGTCTCCCTGACTGAGGAGAAAGGCACCACTGCCTGTGTTTCAGAGAGCGCGAAGTTTAAAGGCACCCTAGCCTCCCTGACTGAGGGGACAGACGATGCCCGAAACCCCTGTTGGCGCTGCCAAGAGCGCAAAAGTCTAAAGCCTCCCCAGCCGAGGAACAGACGTCGCCCTCCAGGTGCCTAAGATGGCTGCCGCGCCTGCGGCTCGCCCGTGAAGGCCGGCGAGGCGCCCAGGCAGGTATAGAGCCGCCTCCCGTCCCGGCCGCCGTGTGGCCGCCGCCACCGCCGCTGCCGCCGGCGGCGGCCCCGAGCACCTCTTCGACTCCCACCTACCTCTTCGACTCCCACTGGCTGCCGAGCGACGGGCCGCTTCCGGTGCTGCTGGCGCTGCTGCTCTATGTGCCGGTGGGGCTGTGCCTGCTGCTGGTGCGGCTCTTTGTGGGGCTGCACGTCTTCCTGATCAGCTGTGCGCTCCCGGACGGCGCCCCACACAGGTTCCTGGTGCACGCCATGTGCTCCGTGCTGGGGCCTCTTCGTGTGGCAGAGGGCCGCGCAGCACCCGTGCCCGCGTCCTGGTGGGCCAACCACGTCACACCCTTTGACCACAACGTCCTGGGCCTGCTGGCCTCCTGCAGCGCGCCCGTGCTGAACAGCGCCGCCGGCTTCCTCTGATGGTCCCGTGTCTTCCTGGAGGTGGCCGGCGCCGAGAGCCACGCGGAGCTGCTGGAGTCGCTGAAGGGCTACTGCTTGCAGGGCGGCAATCCGCCGCTGCTGCTCTTCCCCGAGGAGGAGACCACCAATGGCCGGGTGGGCCTGCTGCGTTTCAGCTCCTGGCCCTTCTCCATCATGGACGCAGTGCAGCCATTGGCTCTGCAGGTCTGGAGGCCCTTCGTGGCTATGAGCGTGGCTGGCGCTTCCTGGTTCACTGAGCTGCTTTGGACTTTCTTCGTTCCTTTCACCGTTTATCAAGTAAAGTGGCTTCCCTCTGTGTACAGAGAAGCCGAGGAGACCCAGGAAGAGTTCAAGAGCTTCTAGCTGTGGAGTTGGGTGTGGTGTCTACGTGCCTCACAGCCGCTGACAAATTGTCTCTCTGCCCCGCTTCCAAGTGACTCTGGGGGAAGGGGTCTCTCTGCCCCCCCTTTCCAAGTGACTCTGGGGGAAGGGGTCTCTCTGCCCCCCTTCCAAGTGACTCTGAGGGAAGGGGTCCTGTATTTAGGGGGTGGTGGGTGTCAGGTGCTGAATAAGGAAACGCGCACCCACCATTAGGGTCCTGCCACCTGGGCTTGCATTCCTTGGTGGTGGCAATATGTCCCCAGGGGGGCAAAAGCTAGGTAGGTGGGAGGTTGGATTGTCACTGCCCTAAGGGGGCCGAGGGAGCACGACGTGCCTGCTCCTCTTTCGGCCCTTAGGCCTTGACCTTCCCATCCTAAGGGGGCCGAGGGAGCGCGATGTGCCTGCTCCTCTTTCGGCCCTTAGGCCTTGACCTTCGTAGTCAACTCCCTAGCTCAGTGGTCCCCCACCTTCTGCTCATCTCCCTTCACGCAAGCCACAGCTAAACTTGCACACTGCTCGCCCAAATGGAACTTGCCTGCCATTTCTGCAGCTTGGTTCCAAACAGGCGACTGTCAGTACTGACCACAGCCCTTAGGGTTCGGGGACCCCTAGTCCACCACATGCTGGATGTCACCAAGGCATGGTTACTCACCAAGCTTCTCAGGGTCTCCTTCCCAGGCCGAGTGCTCCTACCTTGCGACAGGTCAGGTTTCTGTTCCTGGAAGCCAAGATGGGGGAGGTGCGCAAAGCAGCTACTAGTTCAACTTCTTCTTCTGTACCATGGATCCCCAGGAGGCAGGGCCGCGCATGCACTTAGCTAGGGGAAAGGGGTGTAGTGTCCCTGACTAGCTAAGTCTTCAATCTGGTCCGCATTCTGAGCGGGAGCACCGACGGTTCCCATTGGTTGGTGCCGTTTGACAGCAGACTATAAAAGGAGCTGTCAAACGGCATCAGCTGCTCCAGCCAGCTGGCTGCCAGCCCAGCTGGGCAGCCACGATAACCTGTTACTCTTCAAATAAAAGCAACGTTATTCTTCAGTTCTGTGTCTGCCTGGTGTGTCCGTCTGCCAACACAACACTTTTTATCTGGACTTCCTCTCAAGTCTTACAAAATCCTTATAATGTTTTTTTTTAATTTAACTTTTTTCTTTCAATCTATGAGACCTCGGTAAGTGCCCATCTTATTTTTCGTATCTGTGTTTCTGCAGTACTTATTTTCCATGGTGATGATAATTACTTCTATCTAAAGCAGGCAGTGCCAAGAGGACCTGGTTAAGCAGGATAAAAACTGCCAAGAGGACCTGGTTAAGCAGGATAAAAACTAGCTATAAGACTACCAGGAAATACCAGAACTTTAGACTAGACAAAGAGGTTGAAAAGCACACCCTGGAAGAAGGCACTTTTGTGCCGTAGCCAAAAAAACTCCATGTTATGATAGTCATGAGGAACCAAGTTTAATTTGAAGGAGGTTTCCCTGCACATTTTTATTATATAACTTTGCAAAGTTTTGCCTCCTAGTTTCATATTACTCATTCCAGTGCTCTAGCCTTGAATTGTTTGTCTTTGGCCTCTGTTTCAACAGAAAGAAAAAAAAAATGCTAATATTGCATTTCATGGAAAAACAAGAGACCTGTCTCATAGAACTGAGTGTCCTGTGCAGACTTTTCCTGTGTGGAAAAAAATAACAACCCAAACATATAAGAAAAATGTTTATATGCTCAACTGGGCAAACTTGCCAATAAAAGCATAAAGCAAAGCTGAAATAAGAACAGGGCAAAACATAGTGTCAGCAATTTCATTACTTAAAACAAAAGGGAGAATTTTATGAGTGTTCTTTATTTATTGGCTGTACATAGAAACTTTACACACACACACACACACACACACACACACACACACACACCAAAAAATACATAAAATATCTGGTCTTAGTATCAAATAATCTTGCATATACTACACCTTATCATAGATGATATATACTTAGAGACCACAACTATGTGATCAAAGCCCTGCCTCTTTTTACAAATGTCAAATGAATGTAAAAAAGGGTGGGTCACCATCTTGACTTTTTTGACCCATTATCCTGTGGACACCTTTGGTCCTGGCTCAGATATACATATATATTAGTCACTCTATTTTTAGGAGTTTGTTCCCAGTGCAATTTTTTTTTTTAGAAGAGGTAGTTCTTATTTATTATATTTATAATAAAGCTTTTCTGGTACACCTATAAGAATAAAGTTTTCTACTCTTTAAATTAATTAATGTCAATTAATTGCAATTTTCAATAGCATGCCTCATTTCCGGATGCTTGGATGAGGACTGCTTTAGACTTTCTATTTTTAAAGTGGGTACTAGCTGGAACGTTAATGCTCATCTCCCACAGAGTATAGTGAGAAAAGCACCTCTAAATTCACTCCCAGTAGATTTCATAGTTGAATGTTTATCTACCGTATTTGCCGGCGTATAAGACGACTGGGCGTATAAGACGAGCCCCCAACATTTCCACTCAAAATATAGAGTTTGTTATATACTCGCCGTATAAGACGACCCCCCCACTTGGAGGCATGTTTTTCAGGGCAAAAAAGTCATACGCCGGCAAATACGGTAAGTTGTAACACTTGGGGTATTCTGGATATCATTCTTGATTGACACCCCCGCTCCTTTCCCCCAAACTTACAAAGCCACCAAAATGCTTTAGAGAGGCAGCTTCGCCTTTCTCAGGCTGGCACTCAATTCCTCTCCCTTTCTTTGTGACACCGTTGAGCGATCTGCTTTTTTCAGGGGAAAATAAATAAAAAAAAATAAAACTGGACGAAAAACAGTCGAGTTGTTTCTTAATATCTTTCCACCTCCCCAACCAATTTGTCTCCAAGGGTGCACCACACTGATTGCGACATTAATTATTTCAGAGAGAGAGGGGGGGGGAGAAATCTTTACTTCCTACTGTGGCTTTTTCCTGCGCATCGTTTTTTCCCTTGGCTTTGTGGTTGTTACTTCTTACAGGGAGGGATAATGAAATACCCACGCTGGGAGAAAGCAGAAAGGATGTCTATTTTCCTGCTCACTAACTTTCCAGAAAGCGTCGAGTTCCTACTCCGAGACTTGCCAAAAGTCCAGTTCATTCATTTGCTACCTTTCTCCAATGAGATCCAGATCTGTTTCCACAATGCGCTTAGGATCTTATCTTATTATCTTATTATTATCTTATTAGCCTTGCTCGGTCCGTCCAAGAGAGAAGAAGGCAGACGGTTTTGCGCTCAGGGAGAAAGGAAAAGAGCCTCTTGCTCACGCTGCACACTGCCCCCCCTCCACCCCAGCAGCACTTAGGAAAAGAGTTACACAAGCATCCTTTCCAGAAGTGAATTGGGGGGGGGGGAGGATTCGGAGCAAAGGCTGAAACCGGGAAGAGAAAAATTCCCAAAGAAAATCGCACGAGCAGCATCCCATTCCTGGGAGAAAAACAAAAAAACAAAAAACACGAACTCTTCCCGAAGCACAAAAGCAAGGATGGCGCTTTCTCAGCTTTGAGCGGCGTCGCTGCTCTCCCACCCCCTCCACTCGTCCCCACGTGCGGCGAAGTTTCTGCCACTGGGGGGGGGTGGAGGGGGATGGAAGGAGGTGAGGGATGGGGGCAAAGCCTGGAGCCTGCCTGTCCGCTCGCACGAGCGGAGTGGGTGGGTGGGTGGGTGGGGGAGGAGGAGGAAGAGAGACTCCGGCTGGGCTTGAAGGGGCTTCGCAAGTTGCGGAGCTCCGCCCCCGTCGCTCTTGCACCGAGTGACAACAACGTATTTGCCGGCATATAAGACGACCTTTGTTATATACTCGCCGTATAAGACAACCCCCCCCACTTGGAGGCATGTTTTTCAGGGCAAACTTTCTGCTTCATGCTACAAGCCTGAATATTATGCCCTGACATTCTGTTAAATGCTCTTCCTTTCCCCAAATAAGCAGCTTGGAAACTATAAACCAAGGAATAAGCACAGCATGGAAAGTCACAGGTACAAAAGATGACAGTATAGAAATGCAGAATCTCCCAGAATCTTATATAATTGCATTCTTTATAATTGCATTCAGCCCCTCCCCCCATGATTGAATTTACAATTAGCAACACTATTTTTTCTGCCTTCAAGATATCCACCAAAACTTTGGGGAAACCCAGCTGTAGCATTTCCCCCCCATAGGATCTAAATGAGGACAAAAAGTAGAATGACTTTGAGGGGGGGGGGAGTTTTAATTTGCAGACAAGTTGCCCTGCTACAGTTTGCCATAAACTAGTTTACCATAGGCTAGGAAATCAACAGATGTTATTGCTGTGCTTCTATAAATGCTTTGATCATATCTTTTGTTCTGACTTCTTTGCAATCAGAATGTTTTGTTCTTATTATCAGGGAAAATAATGGTTTTCACAATGGATACCTTTTATTCCCCCTCTCAGATATCTCAGACTAAAGATGTGCTCAGCTATTCTCTCTCTCTCTCTCTCTCTCTCTCTCTCTGTGTGTGTGTGTGTGTGTGTGTGTGTGTGTGTGTGTGTTTCATACCCAAGATCTAGAGTAAACTGCTTGAAAGGGCATGGTAGTTATCCATTACTTCATTGACAAAAAAAGGATTTTTAACTTCTAAGGCGGCCGTGGAAAATTATAATTCTCACTAGTTCCAGTCAACACATGCTGATGAGAACTTATCCAATCATACCTCAGTGGCCATATATTTTCCATTCTTCTTTACATCTTCAATAGAAAGTTATAAGCCTGAAAAGTTAATAAAACCAGAAATTATACTATTTGGAATCTAAACACTAATACATGGCACATCAGCCCTCCATTTGCAGTCACCATAACCCTTCTGGATAGGAGGAATAACAATTTGGAACCTATGTTTTTGTACTGGATGAGTGCAGCTGTTTCTGGATTACTAGTCAGTTGGCCTAGTGGTTATGGACCTGGTTAGAAGCTAGGAGAATGTAAATGCTAGTCCTACCTTAGGTGTGAAAGGTGACTGGGTAACGTTGGGTCGGTTACTCTTTCCAGTTACTCTTTCTCAGCCCAACCTACCTCACAGGGTTGTTGTCATGGGGAAAATAAGAGAAGGAAGAAATATTAAATATGTTTGCTACTTTGAATTATTAATAAAAGTAATAACAGTGGTATATAAACAGATGAATAAAAAAATACTTACTGCAGTCTTCAAAAATTCAACCGCTACCAAAAGTCAAACTGGGGTTGATTAAGAGGAAAATAGGAAAAAAATGATTTAAAGATCTGGTCAAATGCTTCATACTTTGAAACTCACTAAAACACAAGAAACATACAAAGATCTCACACTCCACCTCCCCTGGAGCATTGTTCCACCTACCAGAAAGATAAAAAGCAAAGATATAAAGGTCACAAATTCTTGCCTCTCATTCTCCTTGAAGCAAAATAGATAGTTTTTTTTCAATGAAGGTTGAAAAATTGTAAAGTACTCTCTGAAAACTAAGGTTTCTTTTATTAACTTTCTGTTGCTCACCAAAACCTTTTAAAGGCTTTTAAAAAGCCTTCCTTTTATAAACTTGCAAAACTTAATTCTAGGGACTGTAGTTTTTCCCCTTCCATTTTTGGAGTTAAAAAGCTTTTCTGTGATTCTAAAATACAAAGTCTGTTTTTTTTCAGCAACTATTGAGAGCACCCTGGGAAGAGTAAATGGATGACAAGGAGTCACTTTATCTTTTGATAAATAGGTACTTTGTGATTGAGAAACACTGTTTTAATAGATGTAGACAATTTTAGCAAATTTAAAATACACAATCATGCAGGCTGGAGAATACTGGGAGTTGAAGACACATATCTTAAGGTTGCTGAGATTCAGAAACACTATAGTAAGGCAATCGATCTGTGGATGGGCAATCTCCCAAGGTAGCCATTTTCTGAAAAGACTCAAATGTGTCTATCAACACCCACAAAAGCTGCTTGCCTCTGATCTTACTGACCAGCATCAATACTCTGTTACACTTTGTCCTGCCATTTAAAAAGTGAGAAGTGTGCTGTAAATCTTCCAGCTCCAGACATTGAAATATTGACTGCTGTAGCTAATTTTCTTTTGACCCAAGAGAACCATGACTCTAACTAATATGTGTTACAGCTATATTTAAAGGAAAGAATATATGAGTCAGTTACAGTATGTTATGTCTTAATTCCCTCTAGACAATAGCATAAATGGAAATCAGTTTATCACTCATCCATTATGACTTTGGTTGCCCAAGGTCATCACTTGTGAAATGGATAGGAAGCAAGCAACAAATGGTTTTAGAATTAAGTCTTAGTTACAAAAAAAAAAAACTTGCTGAAATTTGCAGCTGCTAAACCATTTGGCTATAGCTTTTAACAGCTGTATGTGAAAACATTTGAAGATTAGAAGCATAGGGTTAGTTTATGTTTTGCTTCATCTTACTTTTAATATAACACCATGGTGTTTATTCAGCTTTTTGTGTTTACCTGTTGCTTGAGTACACTTCCAGCAGAAAAAAATAACATAGTCCTTGTCAAAAATATGACTAAACTTATGGCCATCATCCAGGTGTCCACTGTCAATTTCACATTGCATACAGGTTTATTATGCCATATGAATGATATAGAAATTTCTTAGTTTAAGAGTCAGAACAATATGAATATACATCATTCAGTCACACTTATGTAGAGAACCAACAGAGATGTGATATATACAATATTCCTACAATTCAACATACAAATCTGTTTAATGCCCAAATTCCTGTGTTTTCCTGTGATTCATATATTCAAGCTAAAACTTGCATGTAAATAATATTTAGAAGGAACAAGTTAAACTCATTCTGATTCACCCAAAATGAAATGTGTATATACTTGAAAAAGTACACACTTAAGACTTTTATGACAGAATTCAATGATAAAATCTAACATTTTCTTTTGAGAGGTTTCCAGCAATGTATAGTTTCAGTTTTGGAAACATTAATAGATTTTATCATTCTGTTCATCAAAGGAGCACTTAGTAATTAGCCATCTTAGCCATCTTAATTTCAAACCTTTGTTTTAACAAATGGTCATAAGTTAAGGACTTGTTACTGGACTTGTACCAGTATTCATCTGTTTGTTAATTTACACTAAACCTTTCTCCATGAACTCAAAAGTTCAAACCAGAGTATGTATGTATGTATGTATGTATGTATGTATGTATGTATATGTTTTCTGAGGTTTTCACGGGTCTTTGTATGTGGATCTTTGGTTATTTGGGTTTTCTCCAGCGTAAAATTGGAAGTATCCTGGTGACATTTCGACGAAATCTCATTCATCATCTTCAGGTCATGGACCAGAAGCCGTACCGCAGCTACATCATTACCCGCTTCAAACCCCTCCGACCCACCATGAAGATGTGGCACGACTACGAACGCGAAGCCAAACAACAGATCACAACTCACCAGCTCAAATCCCCCAGCAACTAAGACTAACCTGAGCACAACCAAGCCCCCACCTGAACAGAACACTCCCCCATCCAATCAGAACACAGCCAAGCCCCCACCCAATCAAGTCATACCCCCACTAGCAGTTAAAAGGAAGAAGCAGCTCCAAGCTCACATTACTCCGAGAAGCACAAAGC